ATATCCCCGCTCAGGAGCAGGCTCTATGCGCTTTACACTATATTATTACCCCAGCAGACCATAGCCTAGTCTGTAGTATAGAACACTCCGAAACATTCTCAGCTTCCCGGGAAGCATACAGCATGTTTACTATAGGCTACACATTTTGGCGTAGTAACATTGCCAAGTATGGGTAATACACACCTACATGTAAGCATGTATACACACATAGAGACATAGATCTAGATAGACACACGAGTTCACAAACATTACAGTGTAAATATTATGAAAAAGGTTTAACTTACATTGTTTATGAAGACAGCTTTAGGACTTTCTGTTTAGGTTCTTTCTCAGGTGGTGGATTGGATATCTTGCAGAAATTGTTTAGCAAAATATTGCTCAACTCAAAAGCATAATAGGGCCTACTGAGAGATGTCCATAAATATTTCACTTAAAGTTTTTGCATACCTTCTCAAGTGACTCAAGTCACACACTGGCTCCTAGACTCTAGATCTAGATCTAGATCTAGATCTATATATGAACACAATGAATCAAAAGAAACAATGTCTCTTTGTGAATATTTTTCTAACTGGTCACTTTCAACTAGATCTATCTAGATCTAGATCTAGAGATCTAATATAGATCTAGGCTAATCTGACTGAATAACTAGATCTAGATATCTAGATCTATATCTAGATCTAGATTTAGATCTAGAATCTATATCTAGATTCTAGATTAGAATTGTAGATCTCTACAATGTTGTTCTTGCTAAGGGCACTGGTGTTGGAATTAGACTTTTGGGCAAATCTAGCTAGATCTAGATATATCTAAACTAGATTTTCTAGATCTAGATTCTAGATCTAGATCTAGATCTAATATCTAGACCTAGAATAGTTGACCTGCACCCAGTAACAATTTAATACATTTTCGGCACATTTTCAACAAGTCAAAACAATGCATTCCATTAGAAAGCACTGAAATTGAAAAATGTTTGGTGCACATTGAAAGCTAATTGGTATTAAAAGAAGGATATTAAAATTTCTTTATTTCTGCAGGGAATATATATCTAGATCTAGATCTAGATCTAGAATCTAGATCTAGGCTATGTTAAACACTTAGATATCTAGTACACTGCCATTTATAGAAATGAGATGACAATCGGCTGTTTAATGTGACTCCCACATTGTGACCTAGTTCTGACTCGCCTCCACATTTTCAGACTACAGTCACGCTGAGGAGGTCTGATAATTTCAGTAATTAAGAATTGCTTCAGGCCCTGCTACTGCTATAAATCTAGGCCTACCTCTGTCGTCTGTCGTCATCGTCCTTATCTTTCCAAGAAAAGACCACCCGTCAGCTGATCTCGCATGCATAATTTCCAACATTGCTTCCCCTTACTATAACCAGCCATTTCATTGGTCAGCTGCTTCGTGACAGGCGGAAGGAAACGGAAACGAACGATTTACTAGAAACTAGAAAAGATGGTGGCTTACATGGTGACATACTACATTGATTGTTGCTCGATTTCAAGTGTATTCACTTCTTAATTGGAACGTTTTTTTTCAACTGCAGCCATGCTCAAATTACCATATGGATAATAACTTCAAGCTGGCCATGAATTACGGGAAAAAAATTGCCTTGTTCCGCCCATCTAGTCGCAGTATTGAGAGGTGAGTAGAAGACCTTACAAGTCGGGTGGGCAAGTCAGTTGAGTAGGACGATTCAGCTGTTGTTCAAAATATAGATCTATCCTGTTTTAGACTGCAGAATTGTTTTGTGCCAAATAAATACAACAGTGTAATCGAATCATAGTTTTCCCAGTCATGTTAAAGGTTTCAGATCTAAGAGCATTTTATCTAAAATCTAGAGTCTAGATCTATATCTAGATCTATATATCTAGGTCTATCTCTTCGTCGTATTGATCTTGCCAAGATTCTTGGCCTTGGCTCTGTCACACTGTCACTGTGTCACAACAGTGTAGGGTAGGCCTACTGTAGCTCTATTCTAGTTCTAAATCACTTAATCGTATCGTAGTTTGCACATTCATGTTCAAGATTTTGGGTTGGGAGATATAAGAGCAAGTTATCTAGATCTAGATCCATTTCTTCATCGTATTGATCTTGGCCTTGGCTCTGTCAAACTGTGTCACAACATATGATCACTTTTTGTCACAGCACACTATTTTGTAGACAGCAGACAACATGATTCTCAACTCTTAAAGATCTAAAGCCACACTCTGTGGGATTGTGTACTATGTAAGGTAAATTTAGATCTAGATCTAGATCTAGGAATACTGAACAGCTAGTGTTTTCCCTGATCCTGAGGCTGTAGGCTACTACTGTAGTACTGTAGGGATGGTGAACAGCAAGTTTATCAGTTTGTCTACACTGTAAAAAAAAAAATTTTTTAATTTATAGGATCTCTATAACTTTCTATTGTCTGTTCAGGTGGTTGAATTATACTCTAACACTTAGGACTTAGAACTGAATCTAGATCTAGGTCTAGACTTCTAGAGATGTAGATTATTATTCAGCCGAAATTCGAGGATGCCGTTTTTCAGTTATTTCCTTTCCCCC